CGCCTTGCTTTGTTCCTCTGAAGCATTTCTCCCACCACACTTTCAATATTTGTTTATTGCCTTTGCGCCCAATTCCCAGGGACTCAGGTTTCTCTGTACCCGGGGCCACCTGGCACACCATGTGAACACAGCCAGGCTGTCTGTTGCAGAGCTCAGCGCCCAGCACCAGGCTCAGGGCAATGAGAATCGTGAAGTATCTCACACTGAGGACTTAGGACGTCGACCAGCCAGCTTAGTGACAGTCACCTGGCTTCTGAGAGACATCACATACTGTAGGCAAGGTACACAGTCTTGATGCCGTGTCCCCTGAGGTGATTCTGGAAGTTGGATATGTAACACTTGGGCCCTGGGTTTGGCTCACGGTTAGTGTTTAGCCAAGGTCATTACTAATGACCACAGTAGCATGAGGGGACCATAAAGACCAGGGCACTTAGTGGCATCTGGTGTCTAGACCCAGAAGCCCCTTAGATGAGTGTGCTCATCCCTGGGAACTCAAAAGGAGGACTGAGGCTAAGACCTTGGGGGTCAGAATGGGAGAAAGGTTTGGGTTTTGTGGGGTACCCAGATGGACCCTGGGTAAATCTGATCAGCAGTTAGCCTCAGCAGCCTGGCTGGAGTGGGGCATGCGGTTCTGAGGACTGACGGGGCTAAGCGGTAGCTGAATAGTGGGGAATGGCTAAGGCACTCTGAAACCAAAGACTGAGAAAGGTTAGGGTGAGAGAGATTAGTGGGGAGCAAGACACCAGGACCCCATTGTGTGCAGAGAGAAGCCAGACACAGAAGATGCCATGGTGGTGACATCAGCTCTACACTCAGGCTCTGAGGTCCTTTCTCTGTAGAAGGGGACAGTGTCACTCACTCAGCCAGGCAGTTCACTCCTGGCCTAGAGTCCGTGCAATGCCATGCTCCGTGTCTCCTGCTGCCCCACCACAGACAGATGTGTCCACGGCACACGAGCCATTGGAGAAGGATGAGAAGCCCCTCGGAGCAAAGTCAAGCCCACCATACCCCGGCAACTGCTGGCTTCAGAATGGACAGTGAATAGAGGGGCGGAGCTCCTCAGGTGTGTGCTGAGGTTCACTTCATCTGCAGGAGAACCGAGGGTTGGGGGGGGCGGGGACTTATGGCAACGTCCTGCAGCCAGAGATGACGGGCATGCCTGGGAAGATGGAGATAGGCTGGTGGCAAGTGCAGGAGGGACTTGGGTGAATGGAGCTCTGTCGCACAGTGTGGCCTGCCTGCAGCCGTCCAGCTCAGAGTGTACCTCCAAGGGCAACACCTCCTCTGTTTGAGTCTGGTGTGGTGGTGCACGCCTTTAATCCCAGCACTCAGGAGGCAGAGGCACGAGGATCTCTGTGAGTTTGAGACCAGCCTGGTCTATAAGAGCAGCCTCCAAAGCCACAGAGAAACTCTGTCTCGAAAATGTTGGCTCCTGGTTCAAGGAAGGGACCGACAAGGTCAGGAGAGAAGCCCCGTGGGAGGATGGTGGGACGGAAGAGGAAGATAAAGGTCTGCAATGCCTGCATTGAGCTGCTCTCCCAGGAGCCCTAGCCCCGCACCTGTGCGGCAAGCTTAGGCCCACCAGCACACCTTCCTTCGGCCCTCTTGGATTTGGGGTGGTTGCATGGGTGATCTCAGCTGGGAGTGGTTATGATCCAGGCAGGGCCGGGAAGGCTTCCTGATGAGGAGACAAGTGTGGCAGGCCCATTGCTGCCCCTCACCTTTCTCCAAACTCTGACCAGGGTGGGGAATGACGGAAGGAAGTGCAGCACGGAGTTTCCCTGAGGGCAGAAGCCACACAGCGGGTTGACTGAGCCAAAGCTGGGGCAGACTGAGCAACTGCAGCCTCCACTCACCTGAAAGCCCCACACGCCTGTCCCTGAAGCTAGGGACAGTAGCACACGTGTTGGCAGCCAGGGTCTGTGTCCCCCACAACTGACAACTGAGGACTCTGGAAAGAGAAACCCTTCCTCCATGACAAAGCCATTTTGACTTGAAGTTTTCCTATGTAGCACTTGGCAGTTTCCAAGAACAGTGGAGTCCTGTGATGAACCAGCTTCCAGACATTGAATCAGCTGGACTTGGGCTTGAGAGACGCTGGGGAAGTTCCCTTCCTTCTGCTCTGAGAAATACACTAAGAGAGCCAAGCAGAGCCGGGCGGTGGTAGCGCATGGCTTTAGTCCTAGCACTTGGGAGGCAGAGGCAGGCGGATCTCTGTGAGTTTGTGTCAACTTAGTCTACAAAGCTACATAGAGAAACCCTGTCTCAGAAAGCCAGAGAGAGAGACAGAGAGATAGATAGAGAGAGAGAGAGAGAGAGGGAGAGAGGGATGGAGGGAGAGAGAGAGAGAGAGGAAGGGAGGGAGGGAGGGAGGGAGGGAGAGAGAGACAGAGACAGAGACAGAGAGAGAGAGAGAGAGAGAGAGAGAGAGAGAGAGAGAGAGAGAGAGAGGGAGGGAGGGAGGGAGGGAGGGAGAGGTCTGCTTTTGTTCCCTGTGAGGGGTTCCTGACTCACAGAGTTCTTAAGCATGTTTATTTTGCTGGAAGTTTCAGGGAGGAGGAAATGGGACCCGGGGCTGCTTGGCTCTGGGACGAGATTCTCTGTCTCATTTGTAGGTGGGTAAGGTTACTCAAAAGTCAAAGCTTTTCAAAAATCCCGCCTTAAGGTAAGCCAGCCCATTCTATCAGATGCCACCTGGTGTCTGAGCAGCAGAACAATAGGAAGAAGGTGACTGCATGAAGCAGGCCTCTCCTGCGGCAGGCATCTCTAGGCTGTTTGGAAATCACTGAGTCCAAGCAGGGCATTGCCGGCCTTACAGACAGACAGAGAGTGGTGGATACAGGCCCAGAACGAGAGAGCTGGAACTGGTGTCCCAGAGTGTTGGGGACAAAGAGAAAGTTCAGTAGCCACCTCTGCTTATCCTGCCACCAGGCCAGGGTCTTCCTACAGATGTCTGGGCATCATCAGAGGCAGTTTCCATGCGCACCATTGTCCTAGTTACTTTTCTATTACTGTGGCAAAGGGCCATGACCGAGGCAACTTATAAATGAGTTTGTTACTTTAGTCTCAGGCAGATTCTTAGGACATGGGCTGGAAACAGTCACATTCTTTGCCAAAATATAATGAGAATGGTCTCCACGGCCCACATTGCTCTAGTGCTGTAGTCTTCCAAGCTCCTACTAGAATGGCCCCTTAGTCTCTGCTTGTAGAGTTCAGCCTCTTTCCTGCTCCAAAGTCTTCCTCCCCAAAGCAACACGGCCAGGCCTGTCACAGCAACAGCCCACTCCCAGGCACCAACTTCTATTACTTATTGCTGGGGAAAGATGCCATGAGCAAAGCCACTTAAAGAAACAAGAATTTATTTGGGACTTATGGTTTCAAGGGTTAAAGTTCATGTGGCAGAGCAAAGGCATGGTGATAGGAACAGCTGAGAGCTCACATGTTGTTCTGAAAGCAGGAGGCAGAGAGCACACGGGAACGATGGCTTTTGAAACCCAAAGGCAGCCTCCAGTGACACACCTCCTCTAACAAGGCCACACCCCTAGCCCTTCCCAAACAGTTCCACCAACAGGGGACTACGTATTCAAACGCGTGAGCCTATGGGAGCCACTCTCATTCAAACCACCACACCCAGGCACACTCACACACACCCAGGCACACTCACACACACCCAGGCACACTCACACACCCAGGCACACTCACACACACCCAGGCACACTCACACACACCCAGGCACACTCACACACCCAGGCACACTCACACACCCAGGCACACTCACACACCCAGGCACACTCACACACACCCAGGCACACTCACACACCCAGGCACACTCACACACCCAGGCACACTCACACACCCAGGCACACTCACACACCCAGGCACACTCACACACCCAGGCACACTCAGACACTCCCAGGCACACTCACACCCAGGCATACTCACACACCCAGGCACACTCACACACACCCAGGCACACTCAGACACTTCCAGGCACACTCACACACACCCAGGCACACTCACACACACCCAGGCACACTCACACACCCAGGCACACTCAGACACTCCCAGGCACACTCACACACCCAGGCACACTCAGACACTCCCAGGCACACTCACACACCCAGGCACACTCACACACACCCAGGCACACTCACACCCCCAGGCACACTCACACACACCCAGGCACACTCAGACATTCCCAGGCACACTCTCACACACCCAGGCACACTCAGGTGTAATCAGACTTTCCTTTGGGCCACCAGCCCACAAATAATGACACAGAGACTTATTATTAATTATGAAAGCTCAGCCTTAGCTTAGGTTTGTCCCACTAGCTTTTATAACTTAAATTAACCCGTATTTTTATTAATCTACATTCTACCGTGTGGCGTCCTTTCTGCGTCCTACTCGTTCTGCTTCTCATGGTGTCTCCTGGCATCTCTCGAATGCTTAGATTCATCTCCTAGTTCTTCTCTGCCCATACTTCCTGCCTAGCTATTGACCATGCAGGTCTTTATTAAAACAATCACGGCAATACATCTTCATATAGTGTACAAATATCTCACAACACCCAGGCACACCCAGGAACATCTGGGCACATCCGGGCACACACGCACATAGTCACAGCTGCATCTCTCATCTCTTCTCATCTCTGACGAGTATCCTGCTTTCCCAGACAATATTTCAGCTTGGCCGCACCAGATTGGTACAGGGACTAACCTCAGTCTTCAATGACTATAAAAATGGAGACATCATTTATCTTAAACCATGGGGAGGGGGCTGTCCTGGGGTCTCTGCCTGTGACTGATGTGTCTCTGTGTCACCGAGTTTGGGTGACAGCCCTAGTTCATCAGGGCCCTGGCCCTTCCTCCCACCCACCCCCACGCCTGCAGCATGCTTTTTCTTTTGCCATCACTTAAAAATTTTTTTTGCCAATTTGCATTTTTCAAATACTTCTTCTGTGAACACGCTGTGTTTGTATCATAACTGAGAGAGTGTTTGCAGGGCCAGCACTCAGGCTCTGGCCAAGTTAGATAAACAGCCTCACGCACAGCACAAGCAGAATAAAAACTTCCGCCTCCGCTGCCCAGGCCTGCTTGGCCAGGAGGCGTCATTTCTGGAAAACTGTGGGCTGAGGCCCAGCCCCTGGCAGCAGCCATGTGTCCTGGGGCACAGGGCCAGCATCTCCGTCCGGCCAGAGGTTGGAATTATCCCCCCCACCTCTCACACGAAGGATGAAGGGTAAGTGGAAGGAGCCTCTGGCCCCTCCCAGCCTCTTCCCCCCTCCCACCCCACACTTCTACCATGGGCCTTTGCACACTGCTCAGGACCCCGATTCCTTTGCTTTGCAAGAGGCCCGGGACCAGGCTCAGCAGCGGAGGTGTCGAAGTGAAGGGGGAGCAGACTCAGGTGCCACCTTGTCACCCAGGGATCACAGAGACGGCGTCTCCCTACTTCTGCCCATTGGCAGCCTCCCGGGGCGTGCCCGGACCCTGGCTCTCACTGTGTGGGATTCGGGCATGGAGACCCAGCTCAGGCCCCCTGCCACAGGGTCCCTGCCACAGGGTCCGTTTTTCTTCACTGCTCTCATTTCAAAATCTTTTTGCCACCAGATTTCCGGAAGGGCAGGAACAAGGGCATGGCCTTTACAAATATGTCAGCATCGAGCACTGGGCAGAGTCAGTGAGGTGAATGGATGGATGGATGGATGGATGGATGGATGGATGGATGGATGGATGGATGGATGGACAGACAAGTGGCCAGAGGCAGAGGCAGAGGCAGGCTTCACTTCCAACCTGGATTTCCCTTCTCCAAAGTCAGTCTCTGTGTCCACAAGCAAGGAAAGCGGGAGCCCTTACTTATGTCACAGCCTGTCATGTGGGAACTCTGGGTCCCCAGAACAGGACAGGGCCACTTGCTCAGGCCTCGGGACTTCCATGGAGCCCTCGAAGGCCCCCCCCTCCTTAGTCTAGTTTATTTTTAGCGTGGAGCTGGGGCCTGGCTCTCTCCTTAGGAAAGGTCCTAAGGCTGAGGGAGGCATTTTGAAACCGGGTGGGAAAGTGGGTCAGGCCAGAGCTGGCACTGCTCCAGACGATAAGGCTGGGAAGTTTAATAACGTGAGCGGCCGATCCGTGACATAACTGAGAGGAAACGGCAATTAAGGGGCGATTGTGCAAGCGGGCGAGCCTCCTTCGCAGCTCATAAAAGGGAGGAGGGAGAGGCTGCACTGTCATTTGGGCTGCACACACCGCCTGTGGAGCTTAGGCAGTGACAATCCCTTCACTGGGGTGGTGGCCACCTCCTCTGACCCCTTCAGGACAGGGGGACCAGCAGGGACCCTGGAGGCTGAGAAGCTCCCTAGCCAGCCTGGCTCTGCTGGGGCTGCATGGAGAGTTGCCAAGGAGCCAGACTCTGGGGTGTCTGGGACACAGCTTCTGGGTGACACAAAGTCGCTTTGCTTAGCAGGTGAACTGAAGAGGACACCCCTGACCCTCCCGCCTCACCCTCCTGTACCCCAGGGTACTGTGGGTCTTCAACGCCTCATTTTTGTGTCTCTGGTCTTGCCAGCTAAGCCATCTGTTTTATCTTCCTCACTGGTCCTGTTCCTTCCTGAACGGCAAACGCTCACCACAGGACCTTTGCATTCGCCGTGTATGGCCTTGGCTAGAATGCTACTTCCGTCACACGCACTCGGCTCCCTAGTGCCGTTGTCTTTGCTCAAACGTCAGTCTCGCATCAAAACCACGACTGGCCAGTCCTCCTGGGGACAAAGGCCCACCTGGTGCTCCTCTACCTTTGTCTGAAGTGTTTGCCACCACACAACCCCATGCAATTGCTGGGGTCCCGCACGGGCCCTGCGGCACGTGAGCACCCTGTCAGGGGGACTTCTAAATATCCCATTCTAGGCTGCAGCCCCAGCACCAAGAACGTTTGAGGATATGAGGGTGCTTAGTAAGCCCTGGTGAATGAATGAGTGAGTGAACAAAAGGAGTGAAAGACTAGGTTAGTGAATAGAAGCACAAATGAATGAATGAATGAATGTGTGAATGAGCTAAGGAGTGAGTGCATACATGGATGTGAATAAATGGATGTATGGATGAGTGACTGCAGGAATGCATTAGTGAATGTATGAATGAGTGAGTCAGCAAAAAAGTGAATGAATGAGTGAAAAATGAATGACTGAGTGAATGCATGGATGAATGAATATTGCTGTTATTACTGACTGAATCAAGAGTCAGCCTCGGCCGCCTCAGGATTGAACCCCCTTAGAAGCCGATGGCAGCAGGAAGGAAGTGGGGTTACCAACCTGTTGGGGCAGCCAGATGCTCGCATCTGTCCGTCACCTGTGCTCTGCTAGGGTGCTGGCCCTCCCAGTTCCTGGACCTTTCTGGATAGAGTGCTCTTTGGTGTAATCCCGCGGCTGCCTGTCCAGGTCACACCTCTTCAGGAGTGGCTGCACACGCAGACCCACAGGCAGGGACACCCATGTCGTCCTCACACGCTCCTGCTCCCTCCCAGAGCTCCAGACCTGGGCTCACATTCACACACGATTAAACAAACACACCCAGCTTCTCCCGAACACGCCCCAGCAAATAAGACCTCATGCCCAAACATGTTGGCACACTCAACTACCCACTGTGGTCTTGCCTGAATGTACACACACACACACACACACACACACACACACACACACACACACACACACACGGCAGCACATTCCCCCATGCTCCCCAGCCACGCCTCCTGAGATGTCTGCCCTTCTTCTGCAGGGCACTGTCTCCATGAGGGACCCTGAGCATCTGGAACAGGGAGCCTCATCGCCGGTGCCCACCCTGACCCTGGCACATCTTTGACATGACCTCTGCACTCGGTCCAGCTCATCACAGAGGTGCGTGATACCCACGTCATCCTTGACTGGGCTGCCGCAGGGCATGTCTGCTGGCACTGTCCTGGGCACCTACCCACTTCCTCCCACCGTGGGCGGCAGCCTTGCTGACATCAGCCAGCTTAGGGCCTGCCTGGCACCTCTCAGAAAGGAAGGAAGCAATCTGTCCCTACCACAGGGAGCCAACAGGAGAGGTGACCAGACCCCTCATTCACCTGGACGGTGCATGGCCTGGGACGGGGAGGCTCTCAAAGGGGTTCATGGAGAACTTTCCTTTTTTTACCATCAGGGGACCCTAGCATTTCTGTCAAGAACACAGGACCAGGACCTGTGGTGTTCTGAGCATGCTAGGAGTTGTCACTTAGTCCTCAGAACAGCTGTCACCCCACGTGACAAGTGAGATTGGGTCAGAGTCCCCATGGCCCCAAGCTCCTGCCTCAGCCTGCCCTCTGTGCTGACTTGTCTCCTGGTATTTGTATGGGGGTTCATTTGTTTGGTCTCTGTGAGCCCCGGTATCCACAGTCCTCCTCCATACTTCCATTTGTTCTGGGTTCGGGGGACACCAGAGCAACGCTGCATCAGCCGCATTGGACAAGACTGAGACCTGGGTGTCACTGGGACAGTTGGCAAGGAAGGGCAGCGCGGGCTCCACCCGGGCCAGGGTCCGTCTCCAGTGTCCCTTGTACTGTAGGTGTCAAGGCAGGAGGGACACTGGGCTTGACTCTGAGTCTCTCGGGCAGGGAGACAGGTGGGAAAGAGTCTGTATGACGTCAATTAAAAACTTTTGCTTAAAGAATTTTTTTAGATTTTATTTATTTATCTATATCTTTCTTCTTCTTCTTCTTCCCTCCTCCTCCCCCTCCTCCCTCTCTCTCTCTCTCTCTCTCTCTCTCTCTCTCTCTCTCTCTCTCTCTCTCTCTCTGGCACACACACACACACACACACACACACACACACACACACACACACCACTCACCAAAACAGGGCTTCTGTGTGTATTCATGGCTGTCCTGGAATTCAAACTTGCTCCACAGACCAACCTGGCCTTGAACTCAGAGATCCACTTGTCCCTGCCTCCCAAGTGCTGGGATTAAAGGTGTGCACCACCACTGCCTAGCTAGACTTTGTTTATTTTTATTTCCTGTGTCTGGGTGTTTTGCTTGCATGTGTGTCTGTGCATCACAGGTACACGGTGTTCAGAGACCCGAAGAGGGCATTGGATCCCCAGGAACTGGAGTTACAGATGGTTGTGAGCCACCTTGTGAGTGCTGGGGCTGGATCCAGGACCTCTGCAAGAGCAACAAGTGCTCTTAATCTCTGAGCCATCTCTCCAGCCCCAAGCTTTTTTGCTTTTTAAGAAGAGTGGAAAAGCAGGACATGATGGTTCATGCCTGTAACCCCAGGTCAGGAGTATCAGTAGAGTTCTAGGCTAGCCTGGGCTACAGTGTGAGAACTGCCTAAGGTAACAAAAACAAAACAAAAAACTAAAGCTGAACTTAATGAATAAGACAAGCTATGCGGGCTTGCTCTGATGAATTCTGACTGAGAACCAAGCAGGGCGATTTCCTAAGTGGAGGCCCCAGCCAATCCCAGCGGACTGCACAAGCACATGTCAGTGAGGAGTCATCGGGAGTCCCACTGTCAACTCCACAGGCCTGTGAGATTCTTTGGCACATTCTCAGTCCCTTTGCCCCTTGCTGGGGCCACATGGAACACAGGTAAGGAGACTTCATACTTGTCCCTCAGCTTCCTATGGCTTCTGAACTCTTGCTACAGTGACTCCCTGGCTCCCTGAGAACCTGCTGCGGATCCATAACAGCCACCACTGGGGTCATTTTGGCACTTTGGGTCAGGTACCACAGTCCCCACATGGGCTGAGAAATTGTCAGCTCGGGGCAGATGAGTGAGAAACCCTCAGACAAAGCAGCCAAGGGACTCCAGGACCCCAAGATCAATGCACACACAGGCAGGGGACTCCAGGACCCCAAGATCAATGCACACACAGGCAGGGGACTCCAGGACCCCAAGATCAATGCACACACAGGCAGGGGACTCCAGGACCCCAAGATCAATGCACACACGGGCAGGGGACTGGGACTCCAGGACCCCAAGGTCAATGCACACATAGGCAGGCCCTCGACTTGAAGCAATAGAGCAAGAACTTCAGCCTGTGCATAGTAGGCACGTACTAAGTCTCTAGAACCTCCCACAGACTAACCAGCTCAGGCCTCTAATTACACTGTATCATCTCCTTCCACGACTGGGGAAACTAAGACACACAGGGGACAAGTTGCATCACCAGGAGAGGCAAAAGCCAAGCCGTGTTCTTGCTCTGTGGCCACTCCCGCTGCCATCCACCCCTGCCCACTCTTGGGACCATCTCCTCTCCACCTCAACTCTGGCCTGGTGACTACAGGATCAACAAGCCAAGGCCAAGAACAGGACTCTGCACCCAGCCCTCTGATGGGGGTGAGGGTGCTGCGTACAAGTTGGATGATTTGGATCAGTCGCTTAACCACTCTGGGTGTTGACTCTTCTCACCTGTGGAATCAAAGAAGGAGGCAGCGGTCACAAGCTAGGGGCATGTGCTGCATGTGCTGCATTGCTGCATGTGCTGCGCTGCTCCTGCGTCAGCTTCCTGCAGCCTCGGGGCCTTTGCACATGCCAGCCCTCTACGCAGACCCTTCCCGGAGCAACCACCACCCTTCTTCATGTCGGCTGGTCTTCACCCTTGGTGACTGCACCCAGAAGCTCTCCGGAGTCCCCTTTACACTTTCAGGGCCTCCATGGCTTGTCGCCTCCCCAAGCCATTCCCAAAAGAAAACACAGAGAACAAAGCAGACAGCCTCACTACTGCGCTGGTTTTCAGGGTGGTCCTTGCTGGAGCAAGATGGCCTCCCACGCCTCTCATGGTCACTAAGAGCAGACTGTGTGTGCCAAATGTGTGGTGGGGCTGGAGAAGGGACCATGTCTCTTAAGTCACTAGGTAAGGACACGAAAGCCAAGATCCTTCACTCCCGTGGCCTGGGTGCAGGCCGGCATCCTGGGGATGATAGGTGTCCATCGTCAGGGAAGACTCTTACTCTACACCCCTCCACCCCTGAGCTGGGAGGCTGGAGGCATCCGTCAGGCAGGCTGTGGCCCCCATCCAGCAGGAGGTGACTCACCAGCCCCATGATGACAGGTGACATCCCTCCTCTTCCCTGGGGGGGGGGGGGAACTTTGGCCTGGAGATAAAGGGAGCCGGCCTCCCACTTCTGGGAAAAGGACAGACAACAGGGACAGTGGCCAGGCCACCTCCTGGGGGAGGGGGCCATCGCATGTCCGTGCTGGAGGACAGAGACAGAGGCTGCTTCATGAGGTCAGCTGCGCTGACCAAGCCTCCCTTCCCGGTTCAAGGCTTCTCTTCTGGGAGGTGGAGCCTTCCCTCCAAATCTACTACCGTGGCTCTTTTGCAGCAGGTTGTGGTGCGGCATGTGGGCATGCTTAGGTCAGAAGGGACAGGGACTAATCAATGGGTGAACCGAGGTAGTTGTGTCCAGGAGGGTGCTGCCTGGGCAGTGGGCTGTGTGACTCACACACTCTCTCTCTCTCTCCCTCCCTTTCTCTCCAAGGTTTCACTATGTAGCCCTGGATAGCCTAAAACTCACTAAGTAGAGCAGTCTGGCCTTGAACTCACATCGATCTGCTTGCTTCTGCCTCCTGAGTGCTGGGGTAAGAGCTGGGCACCCTCATACCTAGATTTCCACTGTATTTCCAAAAGTCTTTACCCATGTGGCTGAGGATCTAGCTAAGACATTAGTGCACATACTGCTCTTCCACAACCAGAATTCGGCTCCCAGAACTCACTCTCACTGTGTAGTTCACAGCCTTCTGTAACTCCAGCTCCAGGGGATCCAACGCCCTCTGCTGGACCCCAGGGGCACCTGCATTCAGGTGGTGCCCACAAACTCAGATAGACACACATGCATATATGCTTACACAAATGCAAAAATAACAAGCACATCTTTAAAGAAACTTTTTTGAAAAAGTCTTTAGCTGTATATCCAGTGCTTGGATGCGATTCTGTCCTGGGGCCAGAGACATAGGAGCATGTGTTGGCCACATGGCAGGGACAGTGTTTGGCTGCAAGGAAAAAGGACAGGCCCCCAGAGGCCTATACAAGCACGCTCTCGTCACTCTTGGGTCTGAGAGGCCTGTGGATGTGCGGGGACGGGTCCCAGCTGGTGGACATGCTCAGGGTTGTCGCTGATGACCCACTTGGGTGGAGGGCCACTTCCCTGCTTGGGCTGCGCCCCTCTCCTGGCAGGGTTGCTGAGCAAGCCGGGTGTGCAGGGCGACATCCCAGCAGGGAGAGCTGGCCTCTTCAGAGTCCACCTGGGGGCTTTCTGCTCCCACCTTACTGACTGTCACACATGACATCCTCATGGCTAGGGGACACTGGGAAGGCAGCAGGGTCTCGTGCTGAGGGAGGGCAGTGGAGGACATACTGGTGTCTGCTTCGGGTTTCTCCCACATGCCTGGCTCTGCAGCTGGCTTCAGTCTTCACCCCATGACAGGCATCTGGAGTCAGGCCACATTGCTCGGTCAGCTCACCTCACATCGCAGCGAGCCGCACCCGGCTGTGCCAGCCTCCCCCCCCCCCCCCCGCCCCATCCCCCCTGCCTCTCCTCCACCCGCCCCCCACCCCTGTCCCTGGACAGTTGCTTTTTTTTCTTTTTTCCTGCCAGAATCTTGACTGTTAGCATACCAGCCCAGGGAGCGTTTTACAAAGCCCATTCCACACACAGCCTGGCACTTTCCTGCAAAGTGATGGTTGCCTGTCATGGAGCCCCAGAGCCCTTCCATCCTGGAGCACACCATTATAATCCTGTTTCCTCCCTGGTTGTGTGTGGTACTGATCCTCATGTGCCTTTTAAAATGATGCGGCCACTGTGTTCCTTGAGTTATTTGTTCCCTTTTCTGACTTTATTGTCCTTCTCTAATTTCAATAGAAATCCTGAACCCTCGGCTTCACTGAAGCCTAACTTTTATCTTATAATCAGCATCAGAGTCAAATCCTTCACTTCAACGGGCTGTGGGCACCCCAGGGGCCTCTCTGTGCTACATTCTAGGAGTAGTCTCCTAGGAGTAGTCTCCTTCCTCATCGAAACAGCCATGGATGTCTGTGTATAAGTGTAAGCATGTCCTGGGGGACAGAGCCACCCAGGCTGAAGGAGCTCTGATTGACAGATATGGACACCCAAGCTTCCAGGGCCAAGTTCAAGACCATTCCTTTTCCTTGCAGTCTATATTTTCCTCATTCTGAAACCTGGCCTCGAATCCAAAACCTGCCCTCCACCCCCACCTCTTAGGCCTCATCTGTCTGGGTCTTGATTTTCCCAGCTGTGAAATGGGAATGATGGTTCTGACTGGGCAGTGAGTCAGGAGGTGCAGTGAGGTGGGTGTGACCAATATGGAGAAGGATCCTTTGCTGTGACTGAGTGTCCTGCCGATGCTGGGCTCTGAATCCAGCGGAGGCAGCGGCCGGCAAGCCCTGTTTCCTCACGGCAACCCTCCAGGGGAAGAGCCTAGGGAGGGAAGGACACGGGCAGAGTCCTGTGCACCCGGGAGAGCATCTGAGCTGCACCCAGGACGGAGACACCTGCGTGGGCTTTAAGGGGCAGTAAAGACATTTCCAGACTGAGACCAGAGGTGGAGTGGCAGGGGCAGGGGACCCAGCAGACCAGGGGCACCTCCTGCAGGGTCCAGGCTGTATAACCCTGGGCAGGGCAGGAAGTGCTTTGGCCAGGGACCAGGCAGCTAGGGGCCCTCTGGGGACTCTGCCCTGACTCTGAGTGAGTTCCCGGGACACCCTGTCAGGAGGGTGCCGACAGGCCCCAGCGTTGGGGACTGCTGTCCGGATGAACGAACCGGCTGCCCTGGCCACCGGCACCCCGGTGAGCCTGAGTGTTGAGTGTAAGGTATCAGAGGCACCCAGGACACGCACGTGGATCCCATCTGGGGTCTGCCCTCTGCTTCTTCCACCGCCCTTCAGTAAACAGAAATGACTCTCACTTCCCACTGACTGGAATGGAGGTGTGACAGAGGGGCCAGAGCAGCCATTTTGAGCTGTGGCAGAGTGGATGGGCGGACGGAAGCTGGGTCTCCAGGAGAGGCACAGAGCAGAGCCCGGTGCAGGAGCAGATAGACCGTGAGGCTCTGGGGCACCCAAGGGAGGCGGGAGCTCTGAGCGTAGTTTGTGAGTGAGGATACAGGAGCTGTGACAGGATGGGTAGAGTCCCTCCAGAAAGCCACTCAAGCCCCTGGACTAACTTGAGGGTACAAGGAGCCACAGAGACTGTAGGCAGGGAAGTACAGTGGTTAGGTTTCTTGGAAAGACTGTCCAGACTACAGAGAGGTGCACAGACCCTTCCCCCCCCCTCCGACACACACCACCCTTTTCTTTCTTGCCCAAGTTGGCCTTTGCTGTCTATGCAGTCAGGCTGACACAGACTTTTTCCTGGGATTACAGTGGTGCACCACCATGCCTGGCATATGGGGTGCTGAGAATCAAATGCAGGGCTGAATGCATGTCAGGCAAATGCTCTACCAACTGGGCCACAGCCCGGCCCGTGTCCATTCCTTCCTTCAGTAAGATCAAAGCCACAATCACAAAACAAAACAAAACCCCGACTCCCACTCTGAGCCTGGCAGAGTCCTCAGTGAGGCAGGCTGAGCTGTATATACATTCACACAGACCAGTTCAATGGCAAGAGGCAGCGACTGCGGCTGTGGGGTCTAAATGAGTGTGTGCGGGGGAGGGGAGGATGCAGAAGGGGGAGGGGAGGATGCAGAAGGGGGAGGGGAGGATGCAGGAGGGGGAGGGGAAGATGCAGAAGGGGGAGGGGAGGATGCAGAGGAGCTTTTTTCTGAAAGAGAAGACAGGACGGAACAGGAAGGGGGTGGCACAGGTCATAGTAGGCCAAGTGGTAGCAGGGAGGCCACCAAGGTCCTCGGAAAGTGGCAATGGAGGTGGTGGTTCAGGCCCAGAGGGTAGGGACAGCAGGAAGTCTCCAGAGCTGTTGACCTCGGTAAGTTAAGTGACAGATGGGGTGGGTATGATCTTCAAGGGCTGTTGAATGTGAGGGTCCTATGGGCTCTCTGCACGAGAAACCTCAGGCTTGGATTCGGAATCCGACGCATTAAGGGACGGTCTGGCCTATGATGGCAGTGATCCTCCCGTATGGAGTTCTGTATGGGCCACGGTTGCTAGAGTTTGCCACATCTGGCCTTCATGCCCCAAATGATTGCCGGGAGTTATGCCCATGACCGACCCTGCCCACACCTTCTCTCCTAGCAGGAATCCGTTCTGTCAAGTGGGTGTCTGCCTGTGTGCTCAGAGAAGTGTCCCCTCTTCTCCCTCACCCCCAAGCAAGTTGCCATAGGCATAAGCCAGTTTGAGACAGTTTCCTGCCCCAGTGATGACTGACTTGGACTTAGACCTGTGATATAATGGGAAGTCTAGGGGGCAGCTCATAAAAAGGAGACGTGTGAGAAGGAATAGCCATCCCCATCTTTGGGGGTGTTGTCTGTGATGCCTGCAGCTCCGTGGTGATGCCTGCAGCTCCTTGATGAACTCATGAGAGCGTCCATACCATCTGAGGATGGGTGCAGGGAAAGCAGAAAGAACACGAGTCCTTGATTTTCATCACATCTCAAGACTGAAGGACCCTGTGAGAGAAACTACAGATCCTTAGTTCTTTGGAGGGAGAACTTTTGGTGGGGGTTTCTGGTCTGTGTAGCTGAGCCCTCTCTGTGAACCTCGAAGATGGTGCTTTTACAAGAGATCTGGTATTGAAAAGACTTTTCCCAAAGCTGGTGAGTTCCAGTGCTGGGATTTTAAGTTGAAAAGGCTGAAGCCACAGTCTCCTTTCAAAAGGCTGTATCTTAACACGTTTTTAGTAGGAGGCCATAACCCTGTTTTTATTTTTCCCTGGAAAACTGTCATTAGGGATGGTAGGAAACCCCAGAGTGGGCTGTGAGGCTTTGTGTGCAGTTAATGGCTTTGATTATATGTTCCTGCCTCCCCCCCCCCCTTCTGAGGAAGGCTGCCATTGGCTGCACAGTATAATCAAACCGTTTCTTATGTAAACAGTCTCAGGGCACTGGGCCAGTGGGAAGGTGAAAATGAAACTTGCTCCCAGCCAGGAAAACCATCTGCCGGGTGGCAGCAAAAGAGCCGGGGTGAATGACACAGGGTGGGCAGAGGCTGAGAGCAATGAGCCGGAACTGGGGGTGCTGCTAGGCGGCTGGTCACCAGAGCTGTTTCCCAACGCACATCGTGAAATGCTCCAGGGAACTTCAGGCACAATCTTCGAAAGCAAGGAAGGAAGGATGTTAAATTAGCGAAGTGTGGAACTCTCAGAAAGAGCTCATATCCTTAATATGCAAACAGTTCTTGCAATACAATAAGACAAGGTAAACATGAAACCAACTAGTCACCAAAGAAAAACTACTAAAGGCAGTGAACATATGAAGACAAGTTTTGCTCTGACAAGCCAAGGATACAAATAAAAGCTATCATGATGTTTTCCACCTATCAGATGGCACATATCAGACTGGACAGCTCAGGGCTGTGAGGAAGTAGGCCTCCCTTTCTATGCTGAGGGAAGGCACCGGGTCCCTGGGGGCAGACTGACCTCACACATAATAGTCAAAGGCCAGAAGCTCTAAAGTGTCATGAAAATGTTGGGGGCTGTTGGGCCTTTCAACTCAACATACAACAGTTCACAAACCCTCCAGGGACAAGAGCTGTCTGTATAGCTTTGTTCATGAAAGTAAAGCATCAGTGACCTGAAATACTAAATTATAGAGGTGATTAAGTAAACATATGTATCACAGATGAAAAATCAGACTACTAAACCAGCTAGGTGCAGCAGTAAACACCTGATTGGGTACTGGGGAGGCTGAGACAAGATGGTCACCATGAGTTCAAAATCAGCCTCGGCTACACAGTGCGATCCTATCTCTAAACAACAACAACGACAAGAAAAAACACTCAGAGTCATACTGTATTAAAAATAGTGGTTGGAGCTGTGTAGTAGTGGTGCACACCTTTAATCCCAGCACCTGGGAGACAGAGGCAGATCTTTGTGAGTTCAAAGCCAGCTTGGTCTACAAAGCAAGTTCCAGGACAGCCAGGCTTACCCAGAGAAACCCTGTCTCAAAAAACAAAACACAAAAAACAAAATAGTGGTTGGTCTGTAGCTCAGTGACCACATGCCTGCCTGAGTTCGGTCCCCTGCACCATGGCCAAAAGAGAAATAATAAATAAAATAATAAAGTGGCTTTAGAGACCCCACAACTCACGGAGTCTCAAGCCATCTGTGCAGGCTGAGAGGATAAACCCCAAAGTGGATGTGGAGAGGCCGTCACAAGTTCTCCTGGTGGAAGGACTTGGGGGTATTTGAAAGCTTTTTTTTATTAGTGTATGTGTGTGTTTACACGCATGTGGCGAGCCTTGGCGCATCTCTCTGGAGTTGGTTTTCCTTCCCCCTTCGGGTGGTGTCCCAGTTATCTTTAACTGGCAAACAGACACAGCTTAGAGTCTGAGAGGAGCCTAAGTGCACATCTGTGGGGCTGCTTGGAGGGATTGCCTTGATTGTTAGTTGACGCAGGAGGACCCAGCCCACCACAGGCGGCACCATTCCCTGCGCAGGTGGTCCTGGGTTTTATAAGAAAGCTGAACTATGCGTGAGCCCCAGAAGAGCCAGGAAGGGGCATCCTCCATTGGTTTCTGTTTCAAGTTCCTGCTGCGACTTCCCTCAGTGATGAGCTGTGACCTGGAAGTGAAAGTCAAATAAGCCCCTCCCTCCCCTAAGTTACTTTTGGTCATAGTGTGATGAGCAACTCGTGCTCTTAACCTCTGAGCTGTCTCTCCATCTGTAGAGAACACGTGAGTCTGGGGATGGAATTCAGGCTTTTAGGCTTGCGAAAGCTTGGCACGCATTCTGTTTTGATACAGGGTCTTCACGTGTTGCTCTCACGACAATCCTCCTGCCTCAGTCTCCCAAGTGCTAAGATGTCAGGCTTGTGCCACTAGAAGGTTCTTCATATCTTTAAACCCCATTGCCTACATTTTGGCACCGAGCACATGGGTTGGCTGGGTCACTTTAAGCCTTGGAGAATGGTGTGGAGTCTGGGTTTTTATCCACTAGATGCCAGAGACACCCTGCCCCCAACATAACCCCCAAATGTCCCTAGACATTGCCACATGCTCCTCTAGGGACAAAACAAGTCCGGGTTGGAGCCACTGTTTTAAATACTTTTCTGAGTTATTGAAGGCGGCTTAACAATAAGCATGCCATTGTCACCACAATCAGAAAAACAAACACTTTAAAGGGACTGTTGGCAAAGTCCCCTGTGGTTGGGCGACTTTACCCCAGTGGAGATCTGCGCTGCCCTGACTTCAGTGGGAAAGGCTTTGGCTCACATCCCCCTGGGCTGCTTTTGGTTCAGTGAATTCTCTCCTCTAGAGTCTGATGCAGAGATTGGGAGTGTTGACCCTCTCTCTGCCTTCTCCTGGTGACTGCTTCTGTTTGGGGGTGAACCACACTGCTCCCACATAGCTCCTCTTTGGGGGGAGTCGCTGCAGTCCTGCTCCACGCCTGAGCTGATTTTCTAAATGCGCCCCCACCCCCAGCCCCCAGCTACAAGAAACCGCTCAGTGTTTGGAGCTTTCAAAGCGTATTTGCATAGTGATAGCCTTTCCGGGTCTCCCCGTGGCCTTTGCTGTGCTCAGCGGAACATAGTGGAAGACTGAGAAGCGTTACACAATAGAAGAGCTTTCCCTGCGTGGCTAGGGCGTCTCCTGTGTATTGTCAGCCTGAGATGCGCTTTTCCTTCCCCCACGCTGGAGGTGGGATGCGGGCCCTGTGCAAGTCGGGCAGCGCTCTGCCGAAAGGCGTTTCACAGTCCTGAGTCGATTCTGTGCGTGCAAGCTGAGAAGCTGAGTCAGCTAGTCCACTTGCTTTCCCTCGGTCACCTCAGCAGCACATGCAACCAGGACGACAGAGGTCCAGTCTGCCTGGAAGACCCCACTGCTGGGCGAGCAGTCATGGGAGAATGACACACAAGGTAGGGTGACAGTGCTGTTATGACAGGTGTGGCCCTGGCTGGGACAGTGAGAGGAAATCCTGACAGCCATCCATGGTGACAGGCAGGGTGTGGGGACAGAGACAGTGGTATGTGTGGAGAGCCCAATGGCTTCCACCAGGGGCTGCCTGGAGGGAGGGAGGGATCCTGACCCTAAGCCTTCAGAGACCCCCACACTGATATCACAGGGGTGTCCCCTACCTCCCTGCCTGGGTGGGCCCAGCGCCCAGCATGGATGGAGAGGGGAGTGTGAAGCCTGCTGGGAGGGAACGTTTGTAGACCTAGCTTTCTCATTCAAAGGGTGAAAAGGCCAAGGTCACAGCACAGGTGACCCTGGTGACTAGCATCTTCCAACAGTGTTCATGTTGTATGAGTGACAATGACAGAGGTGAAAACAGTCCCTGACTGGAGCCTGGCAGGATCAGTGGTCAGATGGGAGTCTGAAGCTTGAAAACCACAAACCAGTGAGGGTGCCCTGGAGAGATCAGGGACGGCTTCCTGAGGAGACAGCACTAGACTTCCCAGGCAAAGCCAGGACGAAAGACATTTCAGAGAAGCAAACAAACAGCCTGTGCAAAGGCCCTGGGGCAGGCATCCGCGTGTGTCCACGAAGCCTGATGGGAATAAACCCAGAAAACAAGTTCTATATGGTTCAGTGGGAAATGAGTCCCAGAGACACCAAGCAACCCACCCCAGAACACACAGCCAGAAAGCAACTGAGGTGCGACTTGACCATACACACCCCTGTCAGTCCTTCATGAGAGCCAGCCGACAGCTTTGTCCAAAGGGATGCTTGTCTGCTTGAAGAACAGTCAGAGATGTTACTGGCAGCAGAGTCCTATAGCATTTGGGGAGCTCAGGGTGTTGGACAGTACCCACTAACCCCAGGGTATCAGCAGCCAGAACGACACAGGGTCTGAGTGCTAATGCAGGAAAGCTCAGGGGACACAGAGGCCAGGGGACCTTTGGCCCACAGAGATCTTATCTAGAATTGAACCCAGAGGTGGGACCAGAGAGAGAGCCTAGGTAAGGGGGAACCAGTGAGAACTCAGGGTGCTTGAGAAACCTTCTGGCCAGTGTGGACTGCATTCTGGGAGTGTCAGCATGGTATGTAAGAACAGCAGCTTTTTCTTGGAGGCAGGGTGGGGAGTCAGGGATGGCCTCCATAGCGGGTGACTATTGGGCCAAGATGGAGGTAGCCATGCGATATGAGGGCTGAGAAATCCAGGCTGAAATGGAGGTGCCCGGCAGGGTTTGGGGGACAGTGCAGGGACAGCGGAAGTTCCACCAAGGCAGGACATCATTGCCTGGGCACTGGGGGCACCCCCTGACCGCACAGAGCAGGGTCCAAGTAGGGTAGGAGTGAGGAGACAAGGAGATGCTACTCTTGGGGTGCCGGATGAGATGGGGACTAAAGGATGGCATTGGGTGCAGGCTTGGTGGCCTGGTGGCCTGGCTCAGTGGAGACAGAGCTCTGAAGAGCCTCTCAGAAACCGCAGCTCCCTAGGTCCTAACTTTGGTCCTCCAGCCCCCTTTTCTCCACTACTGCTCCCAGATCCTTCGGCAGACATCTCTGATGCCAAACGCCCCCACCATGCTTCTGTCTGGACACACCTGCCAGGGGCAACAGAATGACTGCCACCTTCTACAGGCTGCAGTGCAGGATGCCGGGAGGTCAGAAGGCGATGAACCACAAACATTCTGAGATGCCGCCGGTTCCTGCAGCATGCCCAGCAGGCCTGGGTTCAAGTCGAGCCTCAATGCTCCTGTGCAAGCAGCAGAGCCACACCTCTCTCAGGAGGCGGGGACTCAGAAAGAGGGACTGCAGGAAGGACCCAGGGAGGTCTCAGTGGACAGGAAGCACTATTACTCTCCCAGAACATCACCATCCACACACCCAGCTCCCAGAGGGTGACGGTGTACCGGTCCCACAAAGACAGCCTGAGACGCATTGCTGTCTGTCTCTGGTGTGGAAGGAGGCCCCAGCTAAAGGTAGCAGTGCACCGAGCTCACGGAGGCTGGACACTTGGAGCCTAGTCTACCGATCCCAGGAATGGATGCCCTCTATCCTCCCACAGTCTGCGAGACGTTAACTGTCTCACCCTTCTCATGCAAGGACAGAATCCTGCGCTGAGGCCTCACACGCCCTGGCAGAGGCCAGGACTGTCCTGAACCAGGCAGGGGGGTGGGCATGATCGCCCACAGACCCTCCATAGGCTGTCTCCACTCCACAGGTGAAGGCATAAAGGCCAGGAGAGGACACAGAGCAAGGACCTGGCACAGCAAAGGCTGGTGGTCCACAGGCCCGCACCATCCCACGCCAGGTAGCAGTCCGCTGATGGTAGCAGCCCGCTGAGCGTCCGCTACATATTTAAGTGAGGATGAAAAACGCCATTTGTCATTAATTAAGCGAGGCAGGACAGCAGCTGGGTTGGCTCAGGAAGGCGATGCCAGTCTGAGGTTGGTTCTGCATTTGGGGGACAGGCAGGGAGTCTGGAGGACAAGGCTGCTCCCCAGGTGCCTGTGGTGGGGCTGGACCTGGCCTTCCTGTCACCAGGAGGCCTTGCTTGCTCCAGCCTCAGGATCTTGGCATTGACGGCTCTTCCAGCCTGGACTGACGTCCCACACTTAGGAGTACCTGCAGGCCTCTGCCTCACCTTGGGCACTCACAGCCTGGATGTCTCCTGCCCCCCATCACTATTCTGTCACCGCTGTGGTCTCTCCACAGCAGGCCATCATGACCTTGTCTACTTATGCGGGGCTAGACACTGGAAAGAGATCTGTCAGAAGTGGAAAGTCAGCCCCTCCAAACACCCTAAACACAGAGTAGGCTCCCAACACACACACACACACACACACACACACACACACACACACACACACGTGTGACGCCATCTATAAGTCACTTTGACTCTTTTTTAGCCCACCTCTCTCTTTGGTCCATAGACGTAAACGTCATTTCACCAGGGAGGAAAACTGAGGCAGGGTGGAGGTCGCCTCTCACAAGCCTCCAACTCAAGGCACCTGCATGGACACCCTGAATCTTACCTCAGGGTCACAGAGTCCAGCTGCATGGCCAGATGCCTGGACACGAATCTAGGCTCTCCCTGGCTGAGGACCCTCTTGCAAGCAGGAGGCTAAGGCAGAAGTAGTGCCAGTTTGGGGCTAACCTGGCCTTCAGAGTGAAGGCCTGTCTCAAAAGCAATCAGTTTGGGGCTAACCTGGCCTTCAGAGTAAACCCCTGTCTCAAAAGCAATCGGTTGGAGGCTGGGGAAGTAGCTCAGTGGGTAAAGTGCTCACTGCACAAGCATGAAGGTCTGAGTTCAATCCCTACAGGTCACATAAAAAGCCAGGGACCATGGTGCACATCTGTAATCCCAGCTCTGCAGAGGCAGACAGCAGGGTCCTGGGACTCACTGGTCAGCGACTCTATCAGCTCTGTGAGCTCCAGGTCAGTGAGAGCCTGACTCAAAAACTACAATCTGGAGCAATAGGGACACTCAATGTCAGCCTCCGGCCTCCACATCCCTTCACACATGCATGCCCACATATGCACCCCTCCCACAAGCACAAATAAGTGAATAATGTGGAGATCTGGGGAAGAAGACACTGACATCAACCTTCACACGCATGAGCACATACATAAGAACATGTTCACAGGCTCGCATACACAAATTAGCTTTTAAAAATCAATTTTATTTAAAAAAAAAGACAACAAAACAACAAAAAATCCAAAGAGGTAAGTGCCGTTGTCCTTATTTTACAAGCGGGGAAACATAGGGATATGATGCCACTTCAGAACAGAACTGAGCCTGAATCCCAGGTCTATCTATGCCCAGAGGCCTTCCTGATGGGGAATTTGCAGAAACAGAGTGACAGCAGCCTGCCTCCAGCCTGAGACCCAACTCCTGTGAGAGGCTGTGCAGTGGAGACAGAGCGTGACTTCCCTAAGGCTCCTGGGCTGTGAGATCGTCATGGCGACAGCGGAACACAACAGCTAACATCCACAAAGCCGTTCAGTACCTCTCGTCAACTCAGTCTTCCAGAGATGTGGGAAGCAGAGGTCATCCAAACACCTGGATCCAGCTGTGCCTGAAGCAACCCATCTCTAAAATGTCTTTAATGTGACTCACTGAATTCTTTTTAGCTTGAATTGATCTGCGCTGGGGTTTGGTCCCTCGCAAGTAGAGTCGGGGAATCTTGACTAACCCACCTGCCTTCTGGCCTCTATCTAGGCTTCCATCTCGTCATCCTTCTGGAGCTGAGAGACACACCCATTAACTGTCCCATCCCTGTGCTGACTCACAGGTCCCCAGAGTTTCAGTCTTTCCTTCCCACATGGGTCTGCCACTTTCCCATACACCCTGCTTGGGACAGAGAGCGTGTGGGTGTGCGTGCGTGCGTGCCAATGTGTGAGCACGCCCTTGTTCCAGGAAGGTGCCCCGTGGGCTTTGCTTGGCTCAAGATCAGACCTCGTTATTAGGTGATGACAGCTAATATAGCCTGTCTCTGCCCCCGAAGCAGGTGGCCGCTCTGCATGAGCAGCCCTGCCAGGCAGGTTTATGGTCCCCAAGTCCTGAGAGGCTGACCAAGACAAGCATCGGAAAGCAGAAACTGCACCTGAGATCCAAAAAGGCATTGGATCACTTGGTGTGTGTGTGTGTGTGTGTGTGTGTGTGTGTGTGTATGATGTGTAACTGGTGTATGTAGGGTGTGTGGGGTGTGGTATGGTATATGTATGTGTGAGTATGTGGGATGTATGTATGTGTGGCATGTTGTGTTTGTTATAGTAGGTATGGGGGTGAGTGTGGTGTGTGGGCTGTGCTGTATGTGGTGTGTATTGTGTGTGTGTGTGTGTGTGTGCAGTGTGTCATGCATGGTGCATGTGGGGGGTGCTGCATGGATAAAGTCTACACATATTCACAGGATACACCTGTGTGGGTGCCCTGTGGGTGTCCACACATGTGTGGATTGCACACTGCCTTGCATCACCCACTTGTGTAGAGGCTGGGTGTAGAACAAAGGTCTAGAAGACCCATTTGGGATCAATAGGGATGGAAAGTGCATGTCGGCTGCATGGCTGCATGTGGGTGCATGTGGGTGCATGTGCATGCATGTCGGCTGCATGGCTGCATGTGGGTGCATGTGGGTGCATGTGGGTGCATGTGGGAGGCCCTGAATGGCACAGGTCCACGGGTGTGCTTCTGATTTGGGTGCCTCTCCCTGGGCTCCCTGCTGTGCACAGTGTGAGTACACTCCTAGTCTCTCCCTGTCCTTGTCCTGATTTTTCTAGTCTGCTTTGACCTCCAGCCCTACAGTCCCCACTCCTAGAAAGTGGTTTGGGGCAGGGCCTCCTCTGTCCAGAACCTCCCATAGTTCCCACCTCACTCAGACAAAGTAGAGGTTCCTGGGCAGCCCCATGAGTCCATGCCTGCCCTGACCCCTTCCTTGTACACCCCCTACCCCACAGCACTCTCCTCTTTCCCTGGCTTTTGCTGTGCTGGCCTCTGAGGCTCAGGACAGGCCTGCTGCTGCCTGCAGCCTCACAGCTCCCCGTCCCAGAGCCTAGGCCGCCCCATGGGCTTTCCACTGAAGGTCACTTCCCCAGCAAGCCCTTCCTTCCCTGTCCACATCAACACTGGGCTTGGGGGTCCTTGAACCCCCAGCATGACACCAATCCACTGTCTGCTGATGGGGGATGTCCTTCCGTAGGCTGTGAATATATGTTCCTCTTATTGGTTGATGAATAAATACTGATTGGCCAGTAGCCAGGCAGGAAGTATAGGTGGGGTTACCAGACTAGGAGAATTCTGGCAAGAGGAAGGCAGAGAGAAAGTAGCCGCCAAAAAGATACCATGTAACCACCAAAGGAGTGACATGCCAGAGCATTACAGGTAAGCCACAGCCTTGTGGCAATACATATTTTAACAGAAATGGGTTAATAATTAAGAGAGAGCTAACCAATAAGAAGCCTGAGCCATTGGCCAAATAGTTTATAGTCAATATAAGCCTCTGTGTGTTTCCTTGGGACTAAATGACTGCTGAACAGAACCTCTGTCTACAGTCTGCCCCTCCCACAGTTGCCATTCTGAGAGCACACAGTGTGTCTCCCTGGTACTGGCTCTGCTCAGCACACAGTAGGTGCTCAGGCAGTGACTGGTGAGGAGAAGGGCAGACTAGCCAGAGTTCAGGCTCCAGGCTCCCCTAGCCTTGCCTGCCCTCTGGGCACTAGCCCCTTCACGGTGCCTGCCTGACCTCCAGGGAAGGATTCTGTCCCTTGTCAACGCTGCCAGCTTCCCTGAAGCTTTTTTCCCTTTGGGTTCAGGTGGCAGGTGGCCGGGGTTTGCAGGCCTGTTCCCAGAGACCTGCCACCTGCTTTGGTTCATTCACATGGCTTCTCTTCCCCCCCCTCCCTGTCCTCCCCCCCTCCCCCACCCACCCAGAGGTGAGGTAGAGAGGGAAGGAAAACAGATCCTGCTGTAAGGCACACAGGATTCCAGAACTTTCTTGGATGGACCACAAACACCTGCTCTGTTCCCTTCCCACCTCTGTCTGGAAGTTACTAACTGAGCCCTTCCAACTTGCAATTCATCGTTTATTTTTAAGAGGACTAAAAGGGGAAGTGTGGGTGACGCCCTCCCCCACCCCAGGAGTTCTGGTCACTGCTGGGTGATGGTAGAGAGGCTATCTCTGAGTCAGTCCCTGGGGTCAGTGGAAGCTCAGTGCTGTCGTGGACACAGTGTACAGTCACGGCCGAAGCGTACCATCATATCCGAGCGTCACCACCATGAGAGCAGCAGACCGGTGGTGGGGCTTGCCAGAGAGAAGTTGTGGCCTCCAAGGGTCACATGCTGCCAAGAGCTGGCCAGGATTCAGGGCCTGTGTGCTCGGGAGTCACCCATGCCCACCGAGATCCTTTCGACTTCCCCTCATGCCCCAATTCAAGGCAGATCCACAGAGTGTCTGAAACAAGGGTCCATTCTGCAGTCCAGAATGCCCAGGAACTCACCATCCTCCTGCTTCAGTTTGCCAGTGCAAATGGGCTCTTTCTTAAATGCATTGCATTTGGTCCCGAAGGACCAGAAGGCTGAAGTCTGCCCTCCTCTGAGAGAACCTGATCACCATCGACTGACAGATTGGTTATTGACCTACCCTGATCGACAACGATCACTAAATGATGAGTTCCAGAAGGGTGGGGCCTTCCTGATTGTCCAACATCGAATACACAAGTGTTTGATGAGTGAGCTGGTAAGTTAAAAACAGAAGTCTGTGCAGGCTGGAGAGGTGGCAACTCGCAGCTGTCCATAGCTCCAGCTCCAGGGGATCCGTCACCCTCTCCTGACCTCTGCATGCGCATGCGCATGGTGCAGAGACATACATGCAGGCAAAGCGTCCATACACATGAAACAAAAATAAATGCAATCTAAAAAGCAAAACAGATTTTGAGCCAGGTATGGTAGCTCTCGCATTTTATCCTAGCCCTCAAGAGATCTCTGTGAGTTCAAGGTTAGAATGGTCTACACAGCCAGTTCCAAGCCAGCCAGGGCTACACACCGAGACCTTGTCTCAGAGCAAGCAAACAACAGAAGAAAACACAAAACAAAGAACAATCTACAGAATTCCAGGCTGGGGGTGTGGCTCAGCTGGCACGCTGCTGGTCTAGCATGCCAAAGATCCTGGGTTCCACCCCCAATATTACACAAACAGGACATGGTGGTTCATGTCAGTAATCTCAGCACTCAGAAGGCAGAGGCAGTATTGAGAGTTCAAGGCCAGCCTCAGTTGTTTAGAAAAACCCTAATTGACAAAAAGAATCACTGGTTTACCTTTCCAGCCTTCTCCTCCAAAGGCTCAGACTGGATGTGGCTGGATCGCTATAGCTCCCACCCTCCGCAGCAAACTCCCTGTGGGCTGATGTCCCCACCTGGGAGGCAGGGCCCAGCTCAGGACTTGAAAGGACAAAGACCATTCTTTTCTTTCCATCTGAGGACTGGGGCAGGGACCTGGAAACAAACCATCTCATGCGAACCACAGAGCACAAAGGGTCATGGTGTCCCCTGAGGAGTGACAAGGAGCAGAGAACGTTAGGGTCTGGGGAGGAGAGTCGTTAGAACAAGCTGGAAACATGCATGTGGTGTGGCCCAGTCCTGCCCCGGTCAGGGGGAGGACAGGTGGCCCAGACCCTGGTGCAGGTGCCAGGCTATTTTCCGAGGGTTGAGTGTCCCATGGCCTTGAGACACTGTGGGGCCTTGGGAAGGAGGCAGCACTGCTCGGGCTGAACGTGGCTTAGCTGACCACTGGCTCTGAGAAGGTCACCCAGGGCTGCCCACCCCCAAGGACTCTCAGGGACGCTCCTGGCAGCGCTTTTCGTGTCTCTACTTCCAGCTGGTCTCCCTTCTCGATTCTGTCAGTCTCTCTCTGGCCCAGTCACCCCCAGGGCCTGCGACAGCACCTTCCTCACCTGAGGCACGCAACAGGAGCTGCAGGTCCTTTGCTTCCTCACAATGGGGAGCACAGTCTCCACAGCAGGCTGGGGAATAAGGCAGTCGCTGCCATTCCCAGCTCACAGACGGGGAAACTGAGTCAGAGGAGGAGCTGGCAGGCGGCCTCCTCAGAGACCGGAACCGCCCAGCACACCCCCAGTCTGAAGATGTGAAGACCCCGGTGACCTGCCTCCCTGGTAGGGAGAGTGCATCTCTTTGACCTCAGTGGGAAATCTGTCTTGGGACGGGTGGAGACATTCAAGACCATCACAGTGCAGGGCAAGCTGTGTCACTCACATCTGGCTGGGAGAGGCCAGGGAGGTGAGGAAGCCAGGAATGACAGCTCTGGTTATGTATCCAGATGCAGAGGCTGAGAAATCCCCAGGTGCTTTCTGGAAGGAGGGCTCCTGCCATAGAGCTACCAGCTGGGGAGGAGCTCGGTATACAGAACCCTGCGGAGACTGGAGGAGGGACTGGGTTTCACTGAACAGCAGGCTCAGGCCCAAAGTGTGAAGAATCCCCCCCCCCCGTGTGTGTGTGTGTGTGTGTGTGTGTGTGTGTGTGTGTGTGTGTCTGTCTGTCTGTCTGTCTGTCTGTCTTTGTCTCTGTCTCTCTCAACCTGAAGAAGGAGACAATTCTTACTGA